CTCTTGCTCAGGCTGGTCTCGAACTCCTGAGCTCAAACAATCCGCCTGCCTCGGCCTCCCAGAGTGCTAGGATTACAGGCGTGAGCCAGCGCGCCCAGCCCATAATTTATTTTTATACATTGCTTATTATTGCTTATGTGGGTAGTTTTTAATATTATGCTGTTATAAAATGATTCAGTAAATATATTTGAACTAAATAAAATTAGTTTATATACTTAAATTATTAAACAAATGATGTTGGGACAAGTGATGAACTACTTGAAGTTAAATTAAGTTTGATCCTTACCTCACTATGTGCCCCAAAGTATCATTTTACATCCATGCATTGACTTTTTGTTTTGTCTTGGAGAAAGAGTTGTTCTAGTGTCTTCAGTAGTAAACTCTTCTGGAAGGAAGACCCTCTAAGGATAACAGATTATCTGTATTTGAAGATAAGCATTTAATTTGGAATGTTAGAGCTACATCTGAAAACTTAGACTAAAATTCGGTTATTTAGCTTATATATTATCCTAGAAAATTATTTTTTAAAACGATAGATTATCAGATATGGTGATAAAAAGAAATAGGAAAGCAGGAAATTTGAATGGTGTATCAAAATATTATTAGCTGAGGCATATTATCATTGATATATGCTTTATCTCCAGGAAAATGGATGTCTTCCTAAAAGTGATACGTTTTCTCAAGCTGAATTGAGAAGTGAAACAGTAAATGGGAACTTAGAATATGTTTTATCATTTTGTAAGTATGCAACATTAGCAGTAAACTTGACAAGTGTTAGTTTCTGTACTATGGAGGGCATGCTGGGTACTTTATGCAGTGAAAGCAAGGAAGTTGTTATATGTTTTATTAAATATAAGACAGTTTATGAGTTGAACTTGCAGATAATGTGAAAGTAATTTTAAAGTTGGAAGGACTTCGGATACAACGTGATGTTGGAGTGGAGGTTGGACTGGGGACCCTGAAGACTTAGGTCCTCTTTATAATTCAGCCACTGATTATGTGACCTGGAACAAGTCTTTTAACCTCTCTTTGCTTCAGTTTCATTAAGTGGGTATAGTACCTATCTATCTTGTGGGGGTTGTTGTGAAATCAGATAAGATAACTTTCTGAAAGTATTTTCTGAACTGACGTCTAGATTATTGTCAGGTAAGTTACATGAAGCCATCTCCTAGTCTTTGTTAACAAAAACACAGCATATGTTTACTAAACATTTAAAAATGCTAGAGTGCTTTACAATTCTCATCACATGGTGATTCAGTTACCTCCGTTGATAGATGAAGAAAGGCATAGAGAGTTAAATGATTTGCATAAGATTAGCAACTTGAGCCAGAAGCAAGATCCTCTGACTTTATTTTTTTCACCATATCACATTTTATTTTTAATAAATACGTAAGATGTTGCCAGTTTTCAGAGCCTGTGAAAAATACACCATTTAAAAATATAATACGAAACATCAGTTTTTAGCTCCCTGAAATGTTAAAAGTTAAGCTCTGATTAATGTATAATCAAATTGTATAGGTGGAAGCTTTGTAAAAACCAGGTTATTGGTATATATTACTTGTGTATATGTCTTTAAAATAGTGCATTGTAATATTGTAAGGGAAAGGCAAAGTGTCCAGTATGGAAAATGGTGACTGTTACAGGTATAATTGTTTGAGTCTAAGGTTGGGTATTAATGCTCACTGCTATTTGACTGTATTGATTTTGCCTTCCACTCTTTATAATATATAGATTTTCCATACTGACAAGATGAAAACAGAGAAGCATTAGCAGAGGAATCTGGGCTCGAAAGGTGCATACATGAGAGCTGCCTTTTCCTTTTATCATACCATCCATTTCACTTCATTGTCAACCTCTTGATTTTTCAGACTTGTTTGTTGCTAAGGAAACTAGATGCTTTTTGTCAGCAGCCTTCCAGCTTACTGAGATGTTTCTGGTCACCTTTTTAATGAATAAAACCTGACAGTATTCTGTGAAATAATATTTTTAAATAGTATAAAAATAAATTTTGAAGAGGTTGTTTATTAATTTGAAAAAGAAAATTCCAGGAACTTTAAAGAATATTTGCGCGTACTCTGGTCAGTACCTTCCCCCTCCCCCCTTGATTTACAGTTCGTGAAGAGCAGTTAGTTCTGTAATTGCTGGTGTTTGCTTTAGGCAGCTCTTGGGTCTGCACCATTGGTTACTATTAATACATCACAAGCCATGCCAGGTCGTAGAGAAGAGAAAATGGATTACCTTGATTAAGTTTTGGGGTAGTAGGAAACATTTTCCCACTTGTGTTTGTAGGCATGGAAAATTAATTTGCCCAGGCAAAATTAAAACTGCTGAGAGGGCTGTGGTTGTGTCCACTTTAAAATTCCTGGAGTGACTAAGCGCAGGTCCTTTTTTGAATAACTTTTAGATTTTCAAAAGCTGTAAAACCACTGAGAAAATTACATTCTTTCTTCAAGGGATATAGTAGCCAATCTGAAACAATTCTCCTTGGTGTGGATTGGCTAATTTTTTATTTATATTTAGGGGAGTTGTACAAATCTTAAAAATGACTCTGACTCCTCCCGTGAGTTTTTAAAAACATTAAGCCAGATATCTTAATCTTCATCTAAACTGTATTTATTGTCTTCAGAATTTGCCTCTACTATGAATTCATCTCTAATTCCACCTATCTTGTATCATTCAGTAGCCCATTACATTTATAGTAAAAAGATTAACTCAATTACTTATGACATGGTACCATTTTGAAACAATTGCAGGGAAAAACAGATTAAGGAGATGCCTACTGTGATTCCATTGCTAGTTATGGCAAGGATTATGTGAAGAATCAGTAGAAGGCCCGATTCTTACACTGAGGCGTATCAGGCTTACAATGTCAGCGTGGAAACACATAAGGTTGTAGACTGTTAAATGCCAAAATGAGGAGTAGAGCAAATAAATCCTCAGAAAAATGAAAGATCAATATAAGTCAATTCCATAACAGAAGTAAAGACCTATTTTGTTATGACTTTTTGTCATTGTATGGCTGCTGGTCATTGATCAGAGTGGAAAATGAAATGAGAAAGTGTGAATGGTTCAACAGAACCCAATACCTCTGTCAGAACTTTTCCCTTCGTCTACTGTCTTTAAAGAACAAAAGCACTATAGGGTATTACAGTCTCTGTCTTCATAGTGCCGCAGCGTCCGATAACTTACAGCCTCCGTATGTGTATCAGACAGACTTTGAGTATGCCGGAATGTTACTAATAGTAATTGCTGTTTATATGAAATAATATTTATAAATTTATTAGTTGTATATATTTATGAAATTGAAGTAAATATGCATTAAAAGGGTAGCTTATTTTGCAAATATATATTACTGTATTATCAAATTAATTTTCTATGAAAACATTTTCATTCTTTTTTTTTTTTTTTGAGACAGAGTCTCACTCTGTTGCCCGGGCTAGAGTGCCATGGCATCATCCTAGCTCACAGCAACCTCAAACTCCCGGGCTCAGGCGATCCTCCTGCCTCAGCCTCCCGAGTAGCTGGGACTATAGGCATGTGCCACCATGCCCGGCTAATTTTTTCTATATATTTTTTAGTTGTCCAATTAATTTCTTTCTAATTTTAGTAGAGACGGAGTCTCGCTCTTGCTCAGGCTGGTCTCGAACTCCTGAGCTCAAACAATCCGCCCGCCTCGGCCTCCCAGAGAGCTAGGATTACAGGCGTGAGCCACCGCGCCCGGCCAGCATTTTCATTCTTTAAGTAAAATTTCCAAAATGAAAGGTAAAAGACATAAGTTGATAATGTAGGGTTTTTTGGTTCGTTTGCTTGTTTGGTCTGAGATTTAATGATGGTCATTTTCTTTTGCAGTGAAATCAAATACATTGCCTTTCTCATTTAATTCTCTTAGAGGCAGCCTAATTCTAGGCTTTAGGAGGTAAGTTGATCAACTTAAATATTTTTGCCTAAATATGGACTGATATTATCCTACCCTTTTGACCTATTGCATGAGGAAAGATACATATTCTTATTTTCCAATAACTTCTAGTATACCTGAAATAACCTTACCTGTTTTATTCTTCCTTCTAAGTACTTGAATTGAGTTTAGGCTGCCTTTTGTATCACCTTTTTCAAGAAATACAGATTTGGTAAAACTGTTTCTAAGATGAAAGTGCTGTTTGAGTTAGAGACAAATTTGCATGTTCAGTTTATTCTTTGGGAATTTAATTACAAGGTGACTTTTATTCATTATAGTATTACTCTCCTCTGTGTGCTCAAGGAGTGTTAATGACTTTGTACTTCCAGTTTGCTTATTTTGAAAATATTTAATCAAGAAAAGTTGAAAGAATAGTAAAAGGACTGCCTACATACTCTAGAGATTCACCAGTTGTCACCATTAATATTTTGCCATGCTTACTGTCACCCAGGCTGGAGTGCAGGGGCATCATCATACCTTATTGCAGCCTCAAACTGCTGGGCTCGAGTGGTCCTCCCACCTCAGCCTCCAGAATAGCTGGGGCTATAGGCAGGCACCACCATGCCCAGCTGATTTTTTTTTATTTTTTGAAAGGATGAGATTTCACTGTGTTGCTCAGGCTAGTCTCGCTCGAACTCCTGGCCTCAAGGGATCCTCCTTGGCCTCGGCCTCTCGAAGTGCTGGGTTTACAGGCACAAGTTACCGCGCCCAGCTTTATACATTTTTTCTCTACATGCAAAGTATATATATGCACATTATATCCAGACACGTTATATGCAGTTTTACTTCTTTTTTTTTTTTATTCACTTCAAGTTGTGGACACCTGGCACTGGATCTTTCAGCATATGTCTCCTAAGGATAAGGTCATCGTCTATATATCCCAGTATCAATATCACTCTTAAAAAAATATAACAATACTATGTCACCGTCTGATATACATAGTTCGTATTCATATTTTCCTAGTTATAAAAATTTCTTTTATAGCTGTTTTACTTTGTGACTGAGAAGTCAAGTTCATGCTTTGCATTTGCTTGCTATGTATCTTTAATTCTTAATCCAAGATAATTCTGTTACCTTTTTTGTTTTGTTTTTTGTGCCACCTTTTTTTGTTTGTTTATTTTTTTAAAAAGTTCAGGCTAGTTTCCTATAGAATGTGTCTCCAACATTTTGTTTTTGTTTGATTTTTTTCTCATGATGAAACTCAGATTAAACATTTTTAGCAAGAATACTTCATAGGTTATAGGCACTTCTTATTGTATCACATCAAGGGATATAAAGTCAGTTATTTAATAGTGATACCAGCAGCTAAGTTTGATCACTTGGTTGAGGTGATGTTCCCCACATCCCTTCCTTGCAAAGGAACCTCATCTGCTTTGTAACTTTGTAACTTTGTAGTAAGAAGTCTGTGGGTGATACTTTGAGACAATGTGTCTATCCTGTTTTCCCAACACCTTTCACATCTTGGTTTTAGCAGCTGTTGGCAATCCTTGTTAAATCAGTTGTTAACATTGGTGGTTGCAAAAAGCATGAGTTTCTAATTGTGTCATTCCTTCAGTGTTTATGTTAATAACTTTTGATATCCCAGTAGTCTCTGTACTATTTGATGGTAAGTGCGCTAGGATTTTCCATCTACACCTCCAGCACCTCCATTCAGGCAAGATGTTAGAACAAGTCGGTGGGATTCTGTGTTGTTGCCCTTCCTTTAGCCAGTGAAGTTCTACTCTTTTCAGTGACAGTTTTATGTATTTAAAAGAAAAAAAAAGACAATGTTCATGCCTTTAAAAATAAAAATTGAAAAGTATAGCATACGTAATCAAATAGGTAACATGCTCATAGTTTTTCCTCCCTTCCTAAAATACATGGAGTTAGAAATGATAGATGTTATGATGATGTCCTTGTCTACTAATTCTGTCATCTCTGGGTCTTTGTTTCATGAGATTAATTTTTCTCCTCATTATGAGTTTTGAGTCACATTTTTCTCCTTCTTAGAAATTTTTTTTTGGATGCCAAACATTGTGGATTTTATACTGGCAGATGCTGAATTTTTTTATATTCCTTTAAATATTTTCGAGCTTTGATCTGAGACAGAGTTGAGTTGCTTGGAAACAGTTCTCTCAGTGCTTGCCTTTGTGCTTTGTTAGGCAGGACTAGAGCAGCCTTTAGTTTAGGATTATTCCCACTAAACTAGTTTAGTCCCTCTACT